CACTAAAAACGAGGACATTTGAGGTCACGTTCATCTATCTCTGCCCATTCTGCACTAATTTGTGCTTGTAAAAATGACCCAAGACAAACTGTAATATAATATAATATAAATGTTTTGTTTCCATATTAAATATTTATACATGTTCTAAAAATTTCAAATGGTGCTTGAAAACAACTTTACCCATCACAACACCCTTAAAGGGGCACCTTCCAGTTAAGCCTAATCTCACAACAAATTTACTTTCTGGATTAAAATAACAATGGATAATAAGATAGATTAACATTGTAAACAACATAAACAATAGTGTCCCATGATTCTTTGGTGCAATCCATGGGATTGAGTGGTTTCCCTTTAAGCATCATGGGAAATGCAATTTACATGGTCTGCCCAGTTGTTTACTAGTACTTGGTACACAGCTGTTATCATTTCAACCAAAGATGTTAAACATCTTCATTACGGTATTATTTGATTTAAAAGGGCCCACACAATCTTTTGAAAGCAGTTTTCCGATTTTGTTTCGCTCGTGGTCGACTGTAAAGCACAATTTCTGTAAACTTTTGCTGTTACGGCATTGTGAGGTTCTCAATGGTGTCTCTGAACTGAGCTCATGCACTTGATCGCTTGCTATTGTATCAATATGTTACAAGTGCAGTCTTTTTATATTTATTTATTCACAGCTGGTACATTACAAGCACGATGTATTTATAATATGTACTGTGTCATGTCGTCGTAGGTTTATTAGTTAATAAATATGAGTACGTACTTGCAACATACCAGCTATGAGTAAAAAATTTAAATAAAAATCCAAATACTCAAGGTTATGAATAAATCAATATAGATAGACCGTACATGTAATGTGTGAGTCATGAAGAAATAGTTATAAGTTAACTTTTGGCAAAAATCTGTTGCCGAAAAGTCAGGGTGGTAAATGGTGACTGAAACTTTCATTCACCACTTCTAACTTGAAAAGATCAAAATGACATGGTAATTGTTGTCATTGCCATCCGCACTCGCTTGGGTCAGACCACTTCGTGGAGCGCCGAAGACGCCTCTCCGTAATTACATAAACATACCTAGAGATTGAACAACTC